GCTACAAAGAGAAACCCTGTCTCAAAAAAAACATATATATATATATATATATATATATATATATATATATATATATGAAGAAAATATGAATAGTAATAAGAATAATAATATGAAAAATAAAAACTAATGGTGACACGTGAAGAAATGTGATGAGAAAGAAGGTTCTGTGGCATCGCTGCTTCTACTAAAGGGTCTTTAAGTCCAATACCCCTACAGCAGGAGGAGAACCTACAAACCATATAGAGAAGGATTCTTTTTGGAAAGATGCTCTGATACAGAGTCACCACGTAAAGTATGAGGGACCAAAAACCAAAATACCCAAATGACATCAAAGGTGCAACAGAGTGCAGGTCATCTCCAAGGACCCTAGAAAAATAAATTCTAAATTTCACCATAGAGGTAATATCAATGCAAGACAAAGTCCACGTGGGCACTGCACTTTCCACGTGGCCACTAGTTTATTCTCTTACTAGAAGTCAAGGATGATTGGCATAGAAAGGGAGCGGATCCATATCGGAGGGCAGGTGGGGAGGGAGTAGGAGGAATGGGGGAGGGAAAAATACTCAGGGTGTATCATGTAAGAAAAGAATCTGTTGTCAATAAGAGGGGGAAAATGATTACCTGACCCTCTCCACTCAGTTGAGCAGATGAAAAGGAAGTTGTCTACTTTCAAATGTAATTATTTCATTGCAAAAAAAAAAAAAGAAAAACAAAAAAAAACCTAACTTTAATGAATCCCAGGTGGTAGGCTTAACCTTGCTGTTTCAGAAATGAAAATGAACCACAATGAAAACTAAGAATTACATGAAAAATGAGTAAATCCATATTAATTTGGAGTGATATAAGAGGAGAAAGATGGCAGAGCTGTGGTGCTCTGCCTTGTCAATGTGGGAAGGGTCTTTAGAGGGTAGAAGGGAAATGTTTAGCTAAGGTGACATGGTGCTTTGGAGAGATCATCAGTACTAGAATCTGTATCTCCTTAGCCATGCGTTTCTGTAGCCAACGAGGCTGTCCTGTACTGAAAAGAATATTGCATCAAAAGCTATAGAGCAGTGGTTCTCCATGTTCCTAGTGCTACAACCCTTCAATACACTTCCTCGTGTTGTGGTGACCCCCAGCCATGAAATTAGTTCCGTTGCTACTTCATAACCGTAATTTTGCTACTGTTGGGAATCATAATGTAAATATCTGATAGGTAGGATAGCTGATAGGTGACCCCAGGTTGAGAACCACTGCCCTAGATTCTAAGAGCATGAAAAGTGGTGGTAGTATTGTTGAGAAAATTCTTATAGTACAAAAAAAGTATCTATTTCTTTATAGTCTTTATTTTTCTTTCTAGGTGATGCAGATCGTGACCAAGCTACATGTATGTATTGCTGTCCTTTCTTTCTTAAACAGATTAAGCGTTTTCTATGAACTCTAGCTTTCTTCAACTGCTTCTCTATCTACAGATTACCAGTTCTGGTACCCACGTTGGGAAGTGCCCCGCCCGCTCGTGTGTGATCTTCTGTGCATGTTCATCTTTTCGCTGAGACTAGCATGCTTTGTGCTCTGTGTTATCGTTGTTTTGATAATACAGTTTCGATTCCCAGATATCCTAAAGGAAAAGAAGATACTCTCGGAGAGTAAGATGTTTACCACAGAGGAGGAAATGAAACCTGAGGAGGAAGAAAAAGAAGAGACGGAGATCGGGGAGGAGACGGAGATCAAGACGGAGGAAGAAGACTAAGGATAAGGAGAAGATGACCTCAGAGGAGGCAAAGCCCAACAGAAAAAAAATCCAAAAACATTGAAAAGTAGAATGCTGAACTTTAAGAAGAAAATATACAAGCCTCATTTGCGATATTTTTTCATTTCTTTTCTACACTTATTTAACAAATTTAAATTGTAAAACAAAAACAGTGTAAATACAAAGCATGCATTGTACAGAAAATATTAAGCCCTTAAAGACACAGAGAACAGTTAATAGAAACAGACACAACAAAAAGTTGACTTAAGATTTTCCTTTGGTATCTGATAAGAAGAAGGAATATTTATATTTCCATCTCTCTGTGTAGACTTTTTATATGAGTTAACAAGTATCTGAAGTATTAAGTTAAATGAAATTGTCCATGTAAGATGCTTAGGACCACTGCAAGTTTAGAATAGCCATTTGGTAAATATTAGCTTGTTTTTATTATTCCTATTATAGTTATCAGTAGCAGTTGTATGTGATATCAAAACATCAAATATTGTTTATACTTTATGTATATTTGTGAAATAGTTTACATGATATTAGTCCCTTCTGTTAGAAGATAAATGTGTAATTTCTACTTCGTGGTCAGTAATTCATCAAAGACTTGCTGTAATTTTTGTCTTATAGGCCCAATGAATCCAAAAATAATTCATTGTAAATAAACAATAAAGCTGCTTCTAAATATATACAATAAAGTACATCTCAAGTAATCACTTATAGTTAGCATGTTTGGTAGAAGTTTACACATTTATAGGAAAAATAAGTTTACAATATGAATGGTAATACTAATAATTTAATTGAATAAAATTTTAGCCTGGCAAAATATACAAAATGGCGTCTGTTCTTATAAAGTCTAGGCATTTCTGTAGTTGGAAAATTTCCAGTGACCCACCCGGCCCTCCATGGTCCAGCAAATCTCTCTCACCCATGGTCCCGCAGCCACTTATAATCACTCAGAGGCTGATATCAATTATAACTGCTTGGCCATTAGCTCAGGCTTATTACTGACTAGCCCTTACACGTAACCCATAATTCTTATCTATATTTAGCCACGTGGCTTGGTAACTTTTCTCAGTTCTGCCTTGTCATTTTGCTTCCTCTGTGTCTGACTGGCAACTCCTGACTCTGTCCTTCCTCTTCCCAGAATTCTCCTCATCTGCTTGCCTGCCTATACTTCCTACTTGGCTACTGGCCAACCAGAGTTTTATTTACCAACCAATGAGAGCAACACATATTCACAGCATACAGAACGACATCCAACAGCACATTTCTAGTTATGACTAGCATCATATTAAAAGCTTTTTTTTTAAGTCAGACAAATGATAATAACACAAAAACAACCACAAACAGACAAAGGAACCAGCAGCCTAGACCTAAGTTTCTAGGATTTTTACCACTTGTTTAATTTCCCTTGTTTTTTTCGAGCCATCTAAATTTTACAAATTGATGTGGTTTTCCATTATAGAGTCACTTGCTTCTACTCTGCATCCTGGGGAAAAGGGTCGGGTAGAGACATGGAGATGCACTCTATAGTGAGTGAATTGAATGTCATTATTGTGTGTTTGTATTCTACTCAATAGCTTCCTGAAACACCTCCATGCAATTTACACTCAGAGCCACTCTGTGAAGCTATTATTGTTTCTATATTTAAAAGGAGACATCTGACTTCAATATGTAAAATGGTTTAACTAAACCAGGACTGATAACAACTTAATCTCTGAACATGCTGATGCATTTATAGTTATGAATTCTTTTTAACACCATGCTTAATTGTGACAATTGGCCGACTCTTTTCATATCAAAGAATTTGCATTGCAGTGTCCTATAGCTTTCAGCATACTGGTTATTCACACACAGTAATGAATCGCTCGGCAGTGCCTTTCACATCACCACATGGGTAAAGACGTCACATGTCCTTGAATCTTCTTTCCCAAATGTTATGCTAGGTGTCATCTCTAGCCTTCCTCAAGCCCTCATACCTCATGCTCTGGCACCCTTAGTTCCTACTTTTCCTTGTTAGTAAACAAATTGCAAGTTAATCTCCTTGGTGAGCCTATGAGATTAACAAAAAAAAAAAAAAAAAAAAAAGTGCCTGGGAAAATTAACCTTTCTTCTTCTTCCATGGTATTGAGTTCAGGAATGCACTTTAATCACAGTATTCTTGCCTGCCCTGAAATTTGTACTGGGGAATAAATATCTGCCTGATTCATGTCTTAAAGTAGTGTACATTCTATTCTGCAACATGAAACTCTTGAGACTCCTGAGATGCCCCCTGGCCCTTGAATTATCTCTAGCAAGTGTCTGCAGTAGATTATGTGAAGGAATGCTCCAGCATGTGTGCAGGCTGAGAGAAAGGAAGATATGCTTCTGTGATGGCCTTTTTCCAAGGGGTGGGGAGAGTTCTTACACTCCAGTAAGTAACCCCTCACCTATGCTCTGTAAGTAAGCTCAATAAACCCATTAGTTCCCCCAGAGTGAACTTTGGTAGAATTTTACCTTGGTTTGTCTTTGAGACCTTAAGAGAAGGGGTAGGCATTGCTTAAGTCTACCTGTGGGAAGGAATTTTAGCAACGCTTGGTATAAACAACAGGATAGGCTAGAACTGAGAAATTCTAAGTTTGGGAAGAGCAACGGTGTTGTCCCTAGTATGGGGAATGAGATAAACACGCAAAATGAAGTTGACTTGAGGATAATTGCAGAAGAAATTTTGATGCAGTGGTTAATTGAGTTCCCTGAAGGTTGTCTGTTTGAACTATAATTTGTATTATCTCATTGGACAATTGTATGAATATATATAACAGCATTCTGGTAACTCTCACCCCATTACCCTCTCCTGTCTCCCTCCAAGCACCAACATCAACTCTCCTCTTCCCTGCTGGGGACCAGGCTCAGCAGTTTCGGGGTCCGAAGGACGGGATACCTGGAAGGCATAGAAACGATTCAGAGACTATGCTCATGCAAGCTGACAGGTCACTTCCGGCTTCTGCAGTTGCTAAGCAGCTTTTGGCTACAGTTTCTTTAGCTTCTGCTTTTGCCTTGGTAACCTCAGTCTTTTATTTCCCTCCAAGTCCCTTTCTCACATTCACGACATTTTGTTCTGTTTTGGAACCCTCTGAGTTTATCCAGGGTCCCCCTATGATCATGAGTCTGGACCTGTCCATTGGACATATGTCCTTACCCATCCTCCACCCACGTTCCAGTGTAGAAACAATTGAAAACATTTGGCTCTTCCTCCTCTAGGATCCCCAGTAGTTTATAGTTCATCCTGGAAGACAGTCAGCCTCTCCCAGTCTATGACTAACTAATGACAGGCCCAATCTCCTGCAGGCTAGTGGTTTAGTCACCTAGAGCCTCTACCAACTCATCAGTTCCTGTTACAGATTTCTCACCCTGTGGCTGCTCTCTCTACTCTCTGGTAAGTTTTCAGTCCCTCCATTTGCTTGTCTCTTTGAGACCAACCTGCTGGCCCTGTCCTCAGTTCTTTTCGTGGATCCCAAAAGAGCTGCTGACTTCTCGGTCTGTTCAGCTCCTTTCTTTTTAGGAAGAAGTAGTAACTTCCAAGGGCAGATGAAAAAACACAAGCCAGAAGTCTCCCTATTGGCCTTCAACAAAAATCATTACATTTGGTATTGTAGTTAATCCCTACTGTAAGCAGGGAAAATCGGCGAGGCTCAGTGCAGCTTCCCGGTTCAGGGAATTGGCTCCTTATTTATTCTGTACCGTCAAACCCAGCCTGGTAAGCAAAGCGCTCCACCACTGACCCCCCCCCCCAACTGTCACTTCCTTCTGACGTCTCCCCGATGTGCAAACAGTACTTTCTCTGCCGGGAACCTCTTTTCTTTCATGGCTGTTGGTGTTCTTTTTTGTGCTCTGTTTCTTCAAGTCCCTTTCCCAGACACTTTGAAGTTCTCCCCTGCTCCCTTTGACATCTTGAGGTCTTGCATTTGAGCCAGGACACTATCTTAAACAGTTGTATGACTTTTTGTTACATATAATTATTAGGATTTAAGTGTTTGATGGCACCAACTGATATGTTAGTATCAAAGTGGCCATTGCATAAGAATTCCTCTTCTATTTTAATACTAAACTTGATATCCTAAAAAAAAACTGAAAATCAACCATTCTAAGCATCTAACACTTATTAAATAACCTTTTAAAAGTAGACTATAACTTCAGTTTTAATGTGATCTCATCTGTCAAACAATTTATGTAACTTAAAGGCAAGAAAATATTTTTGCAGGTAAATGAGAAAACGCTGTCTCATCATAAAACCCCAACACTGGACTATCAATGAATTCTGTACCGCTACTTCTGATTCTGTCATAGAGGTAGAGTAATGTGTTGTAGAATACTTATTTCAAGATGTGTTGCTTTTGTTTATGCTCTGGAACGTTTGCTTAATAATGCAAAGATGTGTTTGATTAAATAAAATGAACCTGGGCTGAGTCCGAGTCAGCAACTAGCTGACAGGAAGTGGTAGGGGAGAGCCAGGTGAGAAGGGGTTTATAAGGAGGGCCGGGAGAATCGAGGAGCTTTATTTGGAGGGCTCGAGCAAGGAGAGGAGGTGAGCTACTTGCTCTTCAGCCTCTCTGAAGAGCAGAATTCCACTTGAACCTTTGGATCAATTGTGAGGTCTTTAGAGGGACAGAGGTTTAGATAAGTTCCCTTTGTAGCTTTGCAAGAGCTGGAGCCGGAGGGAGCCCTTGCGGCCAATCCTCCGCTGGTAGCTGTGGAGTTGCAGCTGCTGATTCAGACAGCTGTGCTTGAAAAGGCAGCAGCCATTTAAAAAAGGACAACAGTGTTGTCTTGGGGTTTGGGGTTTTTGTTTGTTTGGTCTGTGTGTGTGTGTGTGTGTGTGTGTGTGTGTGTGTGTGTGTGTGTGTGTGTGTGTGTGTGTGTTTACCTCCCTGAGTCCTGAGTGGAACCCAAGAAAACCTTTTCTCTAAGTAGATCCGGTGCTATGTTATCTTCTCCATTCTGCCATAAGGAAGTATTACCCCCACTCTCCAAATCAGAACTAGGTACAGTGTTTACTAGAATGACTGTAGCCAAGTTCAACAAACTAGATGACTAACAAGTGTTAGTCTAGCTCTCGTGTCTGGAGGCTAGTCAAGGTCTTGGCCAGACTCAGCTCCTCCCAGAGCCTCAAAGAGGATGCTCCCTGCACTGTGCCAGCTGCTGCTGGCCCCAGGAACTACTAGCCTCACGGCAAACAAGCCCATTCTCTGTCTCCATCTTCCTGTGACTCCTTCCTCCCGTGTCTGTTTCCCTATGGCTCTCCTCCTCCTCCCTCGGTCTCTGTCTCATCTCTTGTTTCTTTGTCTCTGTTGCTTTCTCTCTCTCTGTCTCTCTCCTTCTCTCTCTGTCTCTCTCTCTGTCGCTCTCTCTCTCTCTCTGTCTCTCTCTGTCTCTCTCTCTCT